AAGCTAAATATTGACTCCAGGATATTAATTTTAACGTTACTACTGTCCATATAAAGTCATCATACCCTTTATCTTTCCTTTTTCCTCTTTCTTCTTCACCAGTGTCAGACAGCTATTAATCAACAAGTATTTTTTGTGCACCTACTGTGAGCAAGACATAATGCTAGACAATGTGGAGGTTAAAAAAAAAAAATACTGTAAGAGTTTGTCCTCATTCTGTTAGACCTAAAATGTAGTTAAAGAAGTGATGCTGAGAATGACGATGATAAAAAGTCATGCAGCAGGTATTATACTAATTGTTTTATAACAAGCTGACAAGGCATATAAACATTTCCTACCCCATGGATGATCAAATGGGGGACATTTGAAGACACCAAAAACCTACCCAGATGTGTAAAGTGAGTAAGTGGAGAGCCAGCACTTGAACCTCAACTCTTTAGATGGATGGCCCTCCATGTTCTTAACCATGATGTCACTCACTTACATGTTAAAAAAAGGTAACACGGGGCCGGCCTGGTGGTGTAGCAGTTAAGTTCACTTGCTCCACTTCAGCAGCCTGGGGTTCTCAGGTTCAAATCCCGGGCATGGACTGATGCACCACTCATCAAGCCAGGTGTGGCGGCATCCCATATACAAAATGGAGGAAGATGGGCACAGATGTTAGCTCAGAGCCAAACTTCCTCAGCAAAAAAAGGGGAGGATTGGCAACAGATGTTAGCTCAGAGCCAATCTTTCTCACACACACACAAAAAAGGTGACACAGGCAGGGTAGAAAATATTGATGTGGAAGATGAAAAGGAAAATATTATCTTCAGGTGGACTATTCAGGAAAAGTTTTGCAAAAGAAGTAGGGCTTGAACTGGATCTTGGAATCTATGAAGAGGAAAGGAGCGGCAGGGTGAATTAAGGAAATATGTCTAGGAAAGAGGAGACTAGATACCAAGCTTCATATTGGAGAATTCTACAGACAATCTTTCTTTGTCTGGTTTTTAATAAATAACGCTCTCCTGTCCTCCCTCTCAATATGGTACTCAAATTAATTTATTGTCCCAGTAGAGATTTTGAGTTTATAGGGATTCATCTTTTAACTAACTTTTTCCTGGGGCCTTTGAGAAAAAAAAAGAAGGTAGAAAATAATTATTCTAGATCAAGTCTAGTCAGTGATCATGGGACAGGACAATATAACTATGGAGATGAAAAGTAAATATCATTTGTACCAGGCCAAATTTTACTACTCACTGGTAAATAGTATATGAAAATTTCCATATTTCTGTACATCATTTTACTTTTTTTGTTTGTTTTTTTGGTGAAGAAGATTGACCCTGAGCTAAGATCTGTTGCCAGTCTTCCTCTTTTTGCTTGAGGAAGATCGTCCCTGAGCTACCATCTGTGCCAATTTTCCCCTATTTTGTATGTGGAACGCTGCCACAGCATGGCTTGACAAGCAGTGTGTAGGTCCCTACCCAGCATCCAAACCCACAAACTCTGGGCCGCAGAAGCAGAGCACACAAACTTAACCACTACACCACCAGGCCAGCCCCGTCATTTTACTTTTAAGATCATATAGTTTAAGTAATATATTTTATATTTTCAGTTAGAAAAATAAGAGTAACTTTTTATAATCCTAAATATACTGGTTAGAAAAGTTTTCTTACTGCCTCATCATTGTGCTAATAGGTCACAGAGAGCAAAAGAATAAGCAAAATGACAGAAGCCTGTATTAATTATAAGCTAACTGGAGAAGTAGTATAAGAATGAGTATTAGAGTCATCATATTTTGACATGTGAGTGAAATAGTTGGTTGCTGCTAAAATATGCCTATTGGGGAGGGGCATTAAAGGGAATAGATACACCCCCTTAAAAAAAACACTTTCACTAAGACACCATAATGTCCAAGATTTCATTTTTTTAGATTTGTTGGAGTAGGGGAATATTAAAAAAATGTAATCTCCAGTTAGTAGCAGTGACAGAAAATATATTCAGGCATAAACTCTAGGTTCACTTTTTATATTCTAGTGTAATCTGTTTTGTCAGTGTTAGTTGCTGGTTGCCAGCCTGTGTTTTTGCTCTGCAAGGGCAAGGTGTCCATGGCCTTTGAGCAAAGTGAGCAAATCTCTCTGCTCCTTTGAAGTTTATCTGTCCAAAATCTTCCAGCAGTCTGCAAGTTTGTGGCTGGATTAAATGTACTGTTTCTTTGTCCGTGAATCATTTTCTAAATGAGGTAACAGATATGAAAGTACTCTGGAACTGAATGGTGGTTAAGAACTGTATGCTATTGTCATAACTTGTTTTTATATTATCTTCCTATTATACATACATAGATTCCCCAAGATATTCAGGAATCATCCTTTCTCAAAAAAGATGTAGCTCAGAAGAATTCTCTCATTGAAAGCTGTTTTGCTTTAGAAATTTCTTTGTCCATAATAAGCACATTCTGCCATTTCATTTTGTCTTCAGATGTGTTACACACACACACTCACACACACATGTACACACACATAAGGCCAAATGATATGTGAAAAGGTTGGCAGGTCAAAGTTTCATCATACCAACAAAAGTTTTACATTACCATTTTCCTGGTCTTTCCACTTCTCTAAATATATTTTATAAAATGTGTTCATTGAAACATTAATTCCTTGGAATATTAACAGATATTACACAACAAGAGGTTCTGTGGTTAAAAGATGTATTAAATTCAAGTAGTCTTATAAGTGTAGTAATAATAATTTTGATGGCTATAATTTATTCATCAGTTTCTAGAAAAAATTTAGCACGTGACTAGCTTTAGAAGTATTTCCTCAATCTCCCCATTTTACAGGTGAGGAATCAGAAATTTAGTTAGAGCCCTTAAGTAAATATTGAAAGTCATACAATTAATAGCAGAACCAAGACCTAAATCAAGGCTTTTCTACTCATTTTGAAATTTCTTTTACTTTAAAAAGATAAACAATTCTTACTTTTCACTCCAGACAATCTTAGAGCCATTAATATGTTAACATGTTAATGTGTAGCACGTTGTATTAGTCAGGGTTCTACAGAGAAACAGATCCAATGGGATACATATAACATCTGTGTGTGTGTGTGTGTGTGTGTGTGTGTGTGTGTGTGTATACACATCATACGTATCATGTGTATATGATATCCCAGATGGGTGGACAGATTTGTTATGAGGAATTGGTTCACATGATTCTGGAGGCTGAGAAGACCCAAGATCTGTAGCCAGCAAGCTGGAGACCCAGGAGAACTGATGGTATAGTTCTAGTCTAATTGAAAAAGCCCAAGAAACAGGTGAGCCAACTGTGTAAGTTCTAGTCCAAAAGCCAGCTGGCTTAAGACTCCAAAAGAGACAATTTTTCAGGCTGAGTCCAAAAGCAGGAAAAAGGCCAGTGTCTCTGCTCAAGCAGTCAGGTAGCAGAAGTTCCCTCTTACTTAGGCATTTTGTTCTATTCAGGTCTTCAACTGATTGGATGAGGCCTACTCAGTTAGGGAGGGCAATCTGCTTTATTCAATCTCCCAATTCAAATGCTAATCTCATCCACAAACACCCTCATAGACACACCCAGAATAATGTTTGATCAAATGTCTGGGCATCCCATGGCCCAGTTAAGTTGACCAAAAAAATTAACCATCACACATGCTAATATGTAAATCTCAGGATTGACATGGGGCCGGGAAATGAGTATTTTCTAAACGTTTTTGATGACAAATTCTATGGTTTTGAAGAGCAAATCTCAGGACCAATGTTCTATGGAATATCTTTGAGATTTGCTGCTCAAGACTTTGGAGACTGTTACTACCTTACACCACATTCTCTCCATAAACTTTGAAAGGTTTTGTTCTTTGATTTCTTTTTGAATCAATGTACTTTCAGAAACCAATAATCATAACAGAACCTATTAGAATGGAGAGGCTTTCTCTTTTAAGTAACTATGGTAGATTTTTTTTTTAATTTTTTTTTTAATTTTATTTATTTATTTTTGTTCCCCCAAAGCCCCAGTAGATAGTTGTATGTCAGCTGCACACCCTTCTAATTGCTGTATGTGGGATGCGGCCTCAGCATGGCCGGACAAGCGGTGCGTTGGTGCGCACCCGGGATCCAAACCCAGGCCCCCAGCAGTGGAGCGCGTGCACTTAACCGCTAAGCCACGGGGCCGGCCCAACTATGGTAGATTGTTGCACTATGGTCTCAAATTTGTTCACACCAATACTGCTCAAATTTGTTCTCTGTACCAATGCCCATGGGTGGTCCCCGCACACACCGACACTAGACTTGGCCATGACACTTTGACAATGAAGCAGCAGCAATGAGATAGAAGCAAAGACTTGAAAGGTGATTGGGGTTTTTCTTCTTTTGCTGATTTTGGAATCTTGCTAGATAAGAGGACTATGGCCCAATCTTCCCCTTTGCCTCAGCTGACAGTCAGCCAACCCTCAGAGCTGTGACACTTAGTGTAAGAGCTAGATCTTAAGTTAGCAGGAGGGAAGCCATCTTAGGGACAGGAAGCAATATTGTAACTATATATGACCCTGACTCTCTAGACTCTGTGAATATATTCTAGCCTGCACATAGCCTAGATGATTAAGCACCTCTCGCTTTTACAAAATACATGATCTGCTAGTTCTATGACTCTTGCTTACATATATCTCCCAGCTGTAATAAGACGATAACTTTGTTCTCTGAGCCCCCCAGGAACATGATGACCTCCAGAAAGAAAAACCCTGTGTTGTTACCCATCACGGATGACAGAAGAAAGAGATAATGAGGGGCCTTGAAGTCCATCACACCAGATGGTTGACATTACTAAACCCCCTCCTTCCCTGCCCATTTCCCATATATAACTGCCTCAAGATTCTGTATGATTTTAAGATGGTCCTTGAGGACACTAGTCCACCATCTTCTGATTATGCTGGCTAATCATATAAATTTTCCTTTCTTGTTTGCAATTGATTGGCATCGATTGCAGTGAGCAGAACAAGTTCGCCCCTTTTTGTGTGGTTACACTAGCTGACCAGCAGTTGACTGTAGGTGCTTGAGTAAGCCTGGCCATGACCAGCAAAATAACCACCCAGCTGAACCAAGTCCAAATTGCTGACCTGCAGAATCAGCCATGCTGTTTTAAGCCAGTAAGTTTTGGGGAGAATTTCTACTAAGAGTTTGGAATTAAAAGAGCTCATTTTACCAAGTTCTAGCTGTGCAACTCTGCTCATGAAAACCTTAGCTCCTCCTCTTCAAAGATGGGATGGAAATAAAATATACTAAATAATATTGCTTTAATGGTTAAAGCAAATAATGAATTTGGGAACTATTTGGTAAGCTATAAACACTATACAAATCAGTAACTATTATTTTTGCATGAGATCTTATCTATTATTATTATTAATCATAATGCTAGCTGTCACTGGTATTTTTTGTATGATGTCATTTGCTGCTCAATAAACCCAGTCCTCAACAGTTATACAGATTATTTCTTCCCTTGGCCGGACCTATGTGGACTTGGTCCCTAGGCTAAGACAAAAAAAGGGTTCAGAATGGACATATAACCAGAATTTGGTTATATGTGCTGTGCCTTGTGCAGTGAGCCCCTTATGTTGTTCACATGGATCTTTGTTGGACATCTCAGCAAGCCCAATACATGTAGAAATCCTTGCATGCAACAGGGAACACTGAGGCCAGGCTCTGCTTGGCTCTCTAGTACACAGGAGAAAGGAGAGACCAAAATCTGAGCCGTTTCAGGCCACATGGTGTCAAGAGTGTCCTTGCATATCTTACTTGACTTTTCTCTGCTTCAGTTTCTTTACCTACTAAAGTAGGAAAATAATAATAAATACTGCATAGTATCATTGTGAGAATAAATGAATTAATGCCTAGAAATTGATCAGAACCATACCTGGAATGTTCTAAGTACTCAATAATATACATTGTAAATATTCAAGAAGTAGATATCTATTATTACTCTTACTGTTATTGTAAAATAGTAGTACTACTATACTGCGGTATATATATAGTTTGTGTACTATATATATAATATATAGTACTATATAGCAGTATACTGCTACTACTACTATTTTATTACATTATTGTTCTTTGGACGTTTCAGTCTACAACTCTGCTGGTTCTTTTATTCTTTGAAGCACACATAAGCAATCATAAATGTGCAAATATCCCAAATTGATCATCTAGACAACTTTTACCAGCAGTTATATTTTGGTAAGACAATTACTTGATGATTAGATTAATTTCATTCATTTCATTGATGCTTGAGGTCTAAAGGATCCTTAAATGTCTTCATGCTACTTTAGTAAAAGAGATGATAATACATGCCCCCTACTGACATCAATTGCAATTTAGAGGACATATTACCAAGTTAAAAGTGTTTGCAGAACATCATGACTGAGTCAAATAGGTAAAACACAGTCCTTATTTAATATAACAATATTACAAAATAATTCATTTGGCATATTTATTTTATACCAACTTTATGTCTGAACAGAGCTTTAATAATAAATATTTGAGGAAGATATTAGTACCTATATAATAATGATGCATAAAACTAATTCCTCTCTAGATTCCAACCCCCAATTCCTTCTCAGAATTCTGGTTTTAAAAATAACATTTTTATTATATTGAACCTTGGATATTTTATTTTGGGTAAAAACATTAAGCCAATTTAACTTTTACTTTACTGGTTATATTTACTGGCATATCCATCTCAAGAAAGTCATTTACTATCATAGCTTTGGAAAAGGAGATTCTTCAAGATGCTGAGAATTGGTCTTCAAAACAGATACTTGAACACTGACTGATTTTACTATCAAGATAACCTGTGGAGGGGCTGGCCGGTGGCGCAAGCAGTTAAGTGTGCACGCTCCGCTAAGGCTGAGGTGGCCCAGGGTTCGCTGGTTCGGATCCCAGACGCACACCGACGCACCACTTGGTAAGCCACGCTGCAGCGGCATCCCATATAAAGTAGAGGAAGATGGGCCTGGATGTTAGCTCAGGGCCACTCTTCCTCAAGAGAAAAAAAGGGGAGGATTGGCATTGGATGTTAGCTCAGGGCTAGTCCTCCTCACAAAATAAATAAATAAATAAATAAATAAATAAATAAATAAATAAATAAATAAATAAATAAAATAAAAAAAGATAACCTGTGGAGTAGTAATGGAAATTCAAAGGTCGTAAATAGAAGATTTTCAATGTAAGATTCCTCTATAAACTTATTTTCTTACGTGTTACCTGACAACAAATGGAAAAAATACTGATTTCCGTGGTCACAAAATTAATCCAATTACTTTATAACAAGTCAATTTTCATATAAAAGAAAAGACTAATATGGAAAAGCAGCTTAAGTAAGAGTCATTGTATTGTGAATTTAGATAGAAATTAACACAGATTTTGGGAGAAGAAAATGTACTTAATATACATAAATGATTATTTACAGACATAAAAGGATCTTTCTTTTACTTTAAAAGGCATCTAAGAGATGCCAGTATTTTTGTTGATTGGCTGTTCTCTATTAAAAAACTTTGGAGGGAGTATTTTTAACTAAACTAAATTATTTCAGATGAAGAAAAGAATCAGAAATTTTTTTTTTTTTTTTTTTGCTGTGGTTAGTTACATGAGGACTTTCTATTTTCTCATCCATGTTTAGTAAAAAGTTCATGGCTTTTATCATGTTCACAAAATGTTATGCGTGATAGAGTTAGTTGGAGCATAGCAGCCATGTACACTAGCAGAAATCACACTAAAAAACTCAACTTGTTATTATAGAAAATACTATAACTGCCAATCTTAAACTGCATCCACTAGACAAGGGAAGGGATCAAAGAGAATGATGAAACAGTAATACATAAAAGCATGAGCAAAAAGATTTTTTTTTCCTATCAGATATTGTGATTCCTTGGTTACTCACAGGATAATCCTGTAAGTAGAGAAAAGCAAGTGAGAGAGGCTAAAGCAGAAAGGCAGTGAGGAAGAATTTAGACTTCACTTTACAGAGGAGTGGGCGGAGAAGCAATTTACAACAAATGGAGAGGTTATAATGAAGGAATGTGACCTTGAATGGGGAAACAGACAGGCACTGTGGCCAACGGAGACAGTAATTCCAAGGGATGTCTTTTTGGGAATCTAAGGAGGCTTAAGCTATACGGGGTAAGAATCATAAAGAAAATAATAACTCGGGGGACACATTCAGAAATAAACATACAATTTTAAAAAAGGATGCAAGCTTATTGTGCCCAAAAGATTATTTTGATTAGGGATATACTTAAGCTTTTCTTTACAATAGTCACAATATCATGGCGATTTAAACGGTTAGGTAGATATTTTTATTGCTCTGTCTGATTTCCTATCTTCAAACATTGAAAACTTAAAATAAAATTGAACGTAATCAAACCTGTTTTTCCATAAGTTGATATCCAATATTCAAATAAGTGTTATTTAAGATATAAATGATAAACAAATCTAAAAATAACGTTGAGTAATTCTAACCAATTTAGAAATTTTTCCTACTGTGATATAACTAGAAAAAACAATATCAAGTAAAGTATCTTTTAGTTATTTTAATAATCAAGAACCTCCCATATATGTATATTTGGTGTATTATAATGTAATGTGACATTCTAATAGATTATTTTGGTCAGTCAAAAAATAGTAACATATTTTATGTTATTCTTAATAGACATAATTAATCTCATTCTCAGATATACCACAATAATGAAGTGAAGATTCAAATTTTGAGAAACTGAAATCAGATTTTGGAGCATATAAGCAAATTCTGGCTATTTATTAAAAGTTAAACATATAGGATAATGGCTTCTTTTCAATATGAAAGCTAAAACTGAAAAATATCCAGATAAAAATATTGGAGGGCAGAGCAAATAGACAAAGTGACAAAAAAAGAAAAAGAAGAAATAATAAAACACAATTCACAGTTTAATACATATTTTCTCTGTAATTCTTTGCATTTTAACCTATTAATTTTGCACATACAGTTTTTCAGTTTGATTAATCTTATAAAGATTAGCTTTTATTCTCACTCCTGTTTCTTTGGTGTTCTGTAGCATTTTACTTACCAATTTAGAATTTCTATTCTTTATCAATTTGATCTTCCCTCAATTTGTTAATTAGCATTTTTGTATGGTGATTAGATACATACTGCTCAGCCATATTTATTCTTCTTAAAATCAGAATTAGGTAAACAACCACTCTGAAGCACACAGCTCTTATAAGCAGTCACTACCTACCTACCTACCTCCATCTGGTGTCAAAACTGATAATTTAATATGCCTGAGTGTCATGGTACTGTTGGTTGCTTGCATGTTGTTTGACTGGAGTGACCACATGAAAACCACATTCAGCTTGGAGTGACCACATGAAAACCACACTCAGCTGACAGTGTTAACATACCTTCTAGAGTTTGAATGCTTGTGTTCCTCCAAAATTCATACATTGAAAACCTCATCCCAAGGTGATGGTTTTAGGAGGTGGAGCCTTTGGTGGGTGTTTAGGTGATGAGGGTGGAGCCCTCATGAATGGGATTAGTGCCCTTATAAAAGAGGGCCCAGCGAGCTCTCTCACTCTTCACCATGTGAGGACACAGCAGGAAGTGGTAGTCTGTGACTCAGAAGAGGGCCTTCACCAGAACCTGACCATGCTGGCACACTAAGCTTCGACTTCTAACTTCCAGAACTGTGAGAAATAAATTTCTATTGTTTATAAGCCACCCAGGCTGTGGTATTTTGTTATAGCAGCCTGAACAGACTAGGACAACACCTAAGCATGTTATCTTTAGATAAATCAAGTCAATACATTTTTATTTTTGTGTAAGTTATTGTAATTATAGGAATGAAAATAGGACTTAATTCTATTAATTCTAAATTCCAAGCATGTTTCCACTAAGGCTAATGTTAACAAAATATCAAAATACTTTTACATTGTGTTTTTTTCAGTTTTCTATTTCCTTTCTATTGTTAAGTAACAAATTACCATAAACAGAAAGATATAAAACAACATCACTAATTATCCATGTACCTCAAAAGTCAGGTACAGACTGGCTGGGACCTCAGCTCAAGGACTCACTGCACTGAAATCAAGGTGTCAACTATCATTGTGTTTCCCTTTATGGCTTGGTATTCTCTTCTAATGTTACTGGTTGTTGGCAGATTTCAATTCCTTGCAATTATAGAACTGAAATCCTTTTCCTTCCAGATAATTGACCAGAGACCACTCTAAGTCTTAGAGACCACCTTCAATTTTTTCCCATGTAGCCCCCTCAATAGGCAGCTCAATACAAGGATTTTTCTTCTTCAAGGTCAG